CCCGGTCACCTATGTAAGATATTCAGACACGGTGGAGAACAACATCCGAGGCGCCCCCTACTGCTTAGACGAAGACGATCAGGGGTGGCTCGACAAACACAACAACAAGGCCCGGAGTGAGCTGGAACAAGCTTTGAAAAACACCAAAAGTCAACAAGCAGCAGCGAAAGAACAGGACTTGATCAGCCACCAGCCGGAAAAGTACTTGACCATCACCGAAGATGAGTTCGAAACAGTGATGTTTGTGTTTGAGCGCGCCACAACCGAGCGTCATCCTCTTTTGGAATTAGACTTCGCCAAGGTGCCGACCCTGAGCGACCTACTTCCGGAGTTTGACGAGACGGCTGCGGCTGCAGCTCTTGCCAAGCCTGAGCTTTCTCCGTACGGTGCTGAAAGCCCCGCGACCGACTCAAAGTCGGCCACTGGCAAGGCCACTTCTAAGAATACTTCGAACGACAACGGCGATGCGGACAAGAAGTGGTCTGCAGAGAACCCTTTCCGCAAACTGTCACTCCTTAAACCCTGTGCGCGTGTAATCTATCCATGGTGGCGCCTACGTCGCCAAGCGCGTGACGGCAAGCCCATTGTGCCCTTTTTGAACTTTGACGAAAGCAATGACAGCGATCCCTATGTCTGTTTCCGGCGCAGAGAGGTCAAGACCGCGCGAAAAACTCGTAAGACCGATACCCTTCAGCTGGAGAAGCTTGTGCGGCTCAAATCCGAGCTTATGCAAGCCACAAAACTGTTCCACATGGTTGCTCAGCGCGAGCAGCTCAAGGAGCAGCAGGTCAAGCAGGCCCATGAGTGCTGGAACCAGGCATACCGCCTGCTCGAGGTGAAGCACGAATGGGGCCTGCCGTCCGGAACCAAGAGCCAGGACGATGAGAACCTTATCTTTGGTGTCCAGCCAGATCCAACGGCTCCGGTTCCGAACGTGGCTGCTTCGGCCCACAATGCACACTTGCTGAAAAAGAAGCGCAAAGCCGAAGAAGCCGCCTCGACGCCCACGACCCTCAAGCTACGCCGTCCCAAGGTGGGCGAGGGAGAGCCTGGTCATCCAAGCAAACCGGGCACGACCGACACGGCCTCGAATGGGATTGGATCCGCGCTGCTCGAGCGTGTCAAGACGGTACAGGCGTACATCGAGCGCGAGACACTGTACCATCAGCAGAGCGAGGCCGGATACGAAGACCTTACCGACTCGGCATTCCAGCCGCCAGCGGCGCCCCTCGCGCAACGTGCCTTCCGGCCGATCCAGTCCGACAACCAAGACACGCATTTCTGGTCGAACCATCCGTTCGCCCGCCTTGGTCGGCAACCGTGTTTCCGGCGGCGTGTCGGCCGCGGCGGACGTGTGTATCTGGACCGTCGTCCGTTGGCCGTGAGTCCTGCGCCTGCAAGCGTCTTGGCCTGGCCGCGCAACTCGAATGGGTGGCCGTCCATGCCCTGGGGAATCGATACGCAGCGTGCGCAGCTTGCGGGTCAGTACGGATCCACGGAATCGAGTGGTACGCAGCGTCCCATGATGTTTGCCTCGCGCCTGAAACCGACGTTGCTACCTACGCCCGACTTTCCCATGGACGCGCATGCGATGAGAGACTCAAATGCGTACCCTCTGCGTGAGATGCTCAAAGCGACACGCACGCAAACGGAGCATCCCAAGGATGCCTCTAGCTCGACCGCCCACCAAGCAGAGGTGGCGAGCACCTCGTCGGAATCAACTGATCGCACCAAATCCTCCGACGACCTAGGTGATGGACAGAGCACCCAGGCGACGGATGTAGAGCAAGATGCGATGCACGAGTCCAAAGACTTGTACATGCCCGGTGACTCGGACGACGAGCCCGAGTCGCTGGAGGAGCAGGTGGAGCGCGCTCAGAAGCTGGCCGAGCGCTGGCGCTACGATGAAGACTCTGGCCGCTGGGCAGGCCTAGGACTGCTGGGCCTCGGCGGAATGGAGGGCGATGAAGAGGCCGTGTTGGACGACTTTGACCATCGCTTCGTACGCTACCGGATGTCGCTGCTCGACGAATCGAACCTGCTCAAACTCTCCACCGACTGGACGTACATGCGACAAGCGCTGGCTGCGGCAGAAGTGCACCCGCCGGCGGCCATCACGTCTGTCTCGAGTGGGGCAAAGAATGCGAACAAGGCTGAGCCTGCCAAACCGGCAGCCAGCCAGGACGACGCTGCCGCAAAAGCTGCACAGCGCGCAAACTGATTCTCTCCCCTCCATTCTTCTGGGCTGGATGCGACGTGGATGTACCATACGGATGATGTACAGTACTGCATCACAAGGACCACGCCTAAGGGCAGTGACGGCTTTTAAGCTTATGGATTATGTAGGCTTCGCGGAGATCAATAATCATGTATCATACGGAAAACCGCTGGCGCCCGTCTGGGTACCTTAATAGCGTAAGGATCCAGGTGTTTTCTATGCTATACCGGATCTAGACCGCAGAGCACCGAATAAGAGGGTGGTTCATCACCGTAGCTATATGCAAAATGGTTGCCTAGCATTAGAAGCCCGGCGGACGCAGACCCTGCGGCTGACCGCTCTGCGCCGCCGCCGCCTGAGCAGCGACTTCGGCAGGGAGGCCACCAGCCGCAGCAGGGTTACCGCCCTGCTGTGCGATCAGCTCCTTCTCTTGCGCAGAAATACGGCTTTCGTCCTCGACGGCCAGCGCAAACGGAAGACCGACAAGAAGCGCCGAGGTCACGCCAATCCAGATCAGCTTGCCAGCAATCCAGCCGCCGAAGAACGAGTAGCTCGACACAGACTTCCACGTCTTCGCAAGCTCGGCACGCGTAGAAGGCGAAATAATATCCTTGAGCGCCGAGATACGGTCAAACAGCGACTCATCGCGGAGCGCGAGGCCACGCTCCGTCACTTCCTCGTCGTCCGAGAGGTCCTCCTGGAGTCAGCTATTAGCAGACACATACGTCGTCCGACTCGTCATCCGTCACCTCCCAGTCCTTCTCGTCATCAGCGGGAACATCGAAGCCCTGTTGCCTGAGCTTCTCGGCCTCGTCTTGCACCTCTTCGATCCGCACCATGATCTACGATCGCCACTCCTAAACGTTCGCGGAGACTGCGGAAGACTTCTGGTCACGTGCACGGTAACCATCGGGCGCGGTGCGTTATTCGCCGTCCGTGCATAACTTTGTCAGCTTGGGATGGGCCCGGAGCCAGGCAAGGCGTCGGAATCGAGCCCGTCAGAGGAGGAGGAGCGGCGTGCTGCGCTGCGCCTGGCTGCACTGCAGTCACTAAAAGCTAGTGCTGCCTCGAAAAAGACAGCTTTAAATAAAGACGCGCTCACGACAGACCGTGCCATACGCAATACCGACGAGAACACCGCAGATCCGACCAGCACTCCCGAATCAATTGCTTGCTCGTCAGCATCAAAGTTCCCAGAACAAGAGCCAGTTCATCCTTTCTCAAAGCGCTCTGCAGGTCGGACTGGTTACCGTGATGTGGACATGCCGGATGCAGACACCACGGATATTCTCTCGTATATTGAGTACGATCAAGATCACAAGTCAGTCTTGACTGACGCACGGAGTGCTCGTCCTCGGATATCTTATGCCGATGAATTCAGTACTCGCCCAATTGCTCCCTCCGGTGAGCTGGGTGTTGCTCGGTGGATGGACCTACCCTTGGACTCGATTGCAAGTTCACCACCCATCCATATGACACCAAAAGCATTTCCCGCGCGGCGCACGATGACCTCCGATACTGTGAAGCAGGATCCGCATGCAGTTGCCATGTCGATCACCCAGAACACTTTTGCAAAGTTTGTGAATCGGCCTATGCGTGGACCTTTCATTATTGAATGGTCTGATGATGAAGACGAGGATGGATCAGATACTGAGCGTCTTACAAACTCTTCTTTGGCTCGGGAATCTCCTAGGGATCGAAAGAGCTCCAGTGTCATTTCATCTGCTGTTTTAACAGAGAAGGAACGCGAAATTAGACGGATGATGGCACGCATTGAAGAGCTGGAGCGGAAGAAACGTTTACAAAATGAACCGGCTTCGGGAGCTATAAATTTACACGATGCGCACCCTCCCACTATATTGGGAAAACGCTCGGCAACCACTGAGGTCGAGGCAGAAGAGGAAACGCCAGCATCTTCCAAGGTAGGTTGCAGTTCCATGCCACGCAGGAGTTTCCGGGCTTATCGTGCACAGAAAACAAAAACCGAAAATTCGACAACAGGAAGAATCTTATCAGGAATCTCTTACGTACGTTTTCGTCTGCGCTGAAATTCAGCGTTGTGACTGCAGAAGCTAACCAATTCTTGTCATTTTTCAGGCTACGACATGGATACGGGACTACCTCCCTAATACATTTGGAGGCTTGCTCTGGAGCCGAAATACTAGTCACTGACAAATTCTAAATTCCACACATTGATGTCAGATACCAAACGGGAACAATACCCCTCAAATCTGGTTCGTTACGCAACCGTAACAACCGCTATAGATTGGATTTAATCATGAATTGAATTAATTAGAATGAAAAGAAAAAAAAATCCTTTCTATTCATCTATAAACGCCTTAGAAGGGGGGCAAGGCATGTCCTGAAGAATGAGCAAGAGACTGGTAAAGCTCGAAGTGAGCAAAAAAAAACTTTTAAAAAAAATAAAAACTGCCCGCTGGCTGGATCGAACAACCGACCTCGTCATGCCTTCAAAGCGTCCGCTAACGCGGGAGGTACGAGTGACGCGCTCTACCACTGAGCTAAGCGGGCATCTCAGCTGACGTCATTAAACATAAGCTAACAAGAAGATCAGGCTGAGTTGAGACGAGAAAAAAGAAAACTAAACATGCCCACTGGCTGGATCGAACAACCGACCTCGTCATGTCTAATCGACGTCCGCAATCGCGGGAGGTACGAGTGACGCGCTCTACCACTGAGCTAAGCGGGCATGTCTACAGATTCTCGGAAAAATGAACATATTTGATCACAAACTTATTAAAAATGGACTCGCAAAAAGCAATGCCCACTGGCTGGATCGAACAACCGACCTCGTCATGACCCTTGGGGTCGACCGCGATCGCGGGAGGTACTAGTGACGCGCTCTACCACTGAGCTAAGCGGGCCTTGTCCAATGAGCCACGAGATACTTGCAAACATAATCATGTCGAACGAAGACGCTTTGTAAAGGAAGCAAAAAGGATGCCCGCTGGCTGGATCGAACAACCGACCTCGTCATGCCGTTGAAGGCGTCCGCATACGCGGGAGGTACTAGTGACGCGCTCTACCACTGAGCTAAGCGGGCCTGGACGGAAAAAATTGGCGAATTAACTGTATATCATCGTTTCGCACTGAATGCCAAGTCTTGTCATGCATGCAGGTTCAACCTCGCGCATCTTTTTAGATAAGCCACATTTGACGCGAACTGACGAATCTGGTGAGCTACTGTCCTAAGTTGTCGCGTTACCGCCTGCTCTTACAAGTTCCATCGCCATGTCTATGGAACTTGAAGGCACCGAGCACAAATTCGAGCCCTTTGAGGTCACCGCACCTCACATCATTTATGTGGCTCTAGGACTTTTCATTGTGGTGGTATGTTGAGCGAATGGCTTATCGCAGTTCGGCATGTTCTCCATGTTAATCAAGGAGAAGTTGTATCTTGGTGAGGCGCCCCTTGCCATGATTTTTGGTATTATCATTGGTGGGTTTTAGTGCTCACGAGCTAACCTCAGGCCCAGTTGCAGCAAAAATCTTCAATCCAGCGGGCTGGGGCGATGTTAAAGCTATGACACCAGGCGACGAAACAACAAACGAAATCACCCTCGAAGTAACAAGAGTCTGTATTGCCCTCTCCGTTTTTGCTGTTGGTGTTGAGGTATGTATCACTTTTTCTTATTTCTGTTACCAAAAAAGTATGTCTGGCGGCATTGGCGCTCGGTGGCCATGCTTCTTGGTCCGGTCATGCTTTGGAGTTGGTTCATTTCTTCGCTCTTAATTTGGGCACTGATCCCCGGCCTAGACTTTTTGAACTCGTATGTTCCCCTTTAACACAGATTGATGATCGGTGCTTGCTTGTCGCCCACCGACCCGATCTTGGCACAAGCCGTGGTCGGTGGCCCCTGGGCCGAACGACACGTGCCAGCACACATCCGGCACCTGCTGCAGTGCGAGTCAGGCTGCAATGATGGTGCGGCCTTTCCTTTCTTGTTCATTGCATACTATCTGACTGTGAATCGGCCCAAGGTTGGGTTTCCGGTTGCAAAGTGGTTTTATCGTACGTGGATTGACTCATTCAGAAACCTGGGCATGGGAGATCTGCCTGGGAACTGCAATTGGTTTCTTCATGGGCTTTTTGGCCCGCCGGTTGATTCGATTCAGTGAACGAAGAAAGCTTGTGGATCGTGAGAGTTTCGTGGCGCAATATGTAAGCCTGGCGCTGGCGAGTATGGGCGTCAACGTGTTGCTTGGCAGTGATGATCTGCTCGCGGCTTTTGCTTGTGGCAGTGCATTTGCGTGGGACGGCTGGTTTCAAAAGCAAACCGAGGACTCAAATTTTAGCAGTATTATTGACCTGCTCTTTAACATTGCTACCTTCGTTTATATCGGTGCAATTATGCCATGGCATGACTTCGTGAACGCTGAAATTAATATCCAGATTTGGCGTCTCATTGTACTTGCTATTTTGATTCTGTTGCTCAAGCGCATTCCAATTGTAGTGGCCATGTGGAAGTTTATTCCGGACATCAAGACATTCCATGAAGCTATTTTCTCAGGCTACTTCGGTCCCATGGGTGTAGGTGCGATCTTCATGTCGACGTATGGCCGTTTGCTGTTAATCCAGCACGTCGAATATCCTCCCAAGACCACCAATGATGTTCTAGCGTACACGATCCAGCCGGTTGTCTTCTTCCTCGTGCTAGCATCGGTCATTGTTCATGGCTTTACTGTACCTTTCTTCGCTTTTGGCAGACGCGCCCATGTGAACCTGACTCGTTCCCTGAGCCACGCTCCCAGCTACGCATTCTCCATGGACGAGCCGGGATGGGTTACGAGCATCCGTCGTACAATGACTGGTGCTACGACCCAGGGTCCTGATGAGGAGCAAGAGCCTACGGGACAAACCTCAGTCGTGGAAGCGATGCATCAAGGTCTGCGGCGTTTGCGCGAACCCAGTGTCGGGTCAGACGAGGAGTCCCATGGGGGCACACATGGTAATGCCAACCGTGCGGAGCTGGACGAACTGGATGAGGCTGGTACGAAGGAAGTGGAAGAAGTTGGTCGTATCGGGCAAGATGAAGATTGGGGTGGTGAAGATACGCTGGAGATGCGCAAGTACCGGCAAAAGAAGGCGTTTGAGCGCCGTGCCTCATTGCAGCACCACGACGAAAAACATGAGAAAGATATTGCCGATGCAGGAGACGAGCATCATGACGCCAATTTCCCTCAAGTCAAAGAATGGGTCGAAGGAAACAGTATGGTTTTGGAGTACCAGGATCATGCCTTGTCGGATACCAAGACGGTGGTGATTCCCATCACTGAAGAGGACCGAAAACACGTGAAAGAAAAGCAGAGTCCTTTCTATGCATGGCTCGCGCGCCATGGCGAGAAACTCGAACACTCCATTGGCTGGCAATCTGAGGACCCCATGCACCAGTCCCACATCGCGCATCTGTTTAACAAAGGCGTTCCGTCGCGTCTCTCCAGACTAATGCACGAATGGACCGAGGCAAAGATGACGCGGGATCCAGAGTACGAAGATCTTCGTCATACGCCTGGAAAAGCCCCGTCTGTGCACGGTGCAGGCGAAGAAGAACATGATCAGCAGCCGACGACTACGACGCACGAGGAGACGACCGAAAATCCAGGCTCGATCATCACCTTGGCTCCACCGAATACGTGGAATTCCACGCCATCGGCGGCACAAGACTCTTCATCGCTCGGCACGGTACCGCAAGAGTCGCAGAGCAACGGAATTCTTCGAACAGAAGACCCGTACAGCACGGAAGAGCGCTACAATGTGGACAGCGCTTCGCAGCAGACCGGAATGTCTGAGTCGAACGGGCGGCACGTTTCATTTGCAGCATACCGTCCTCCTGGGGTCACGAAAAACGAGACGGTCCCTGAAGAGTCTGTGGATCCCTTGGATCGTGGCGAAAAAGAGCATCAGGATTAAGATAGGATAATTGTACAATTTTGAAACTAGATCAGTCTAAACATGTTTTTCTTGGTCTCTTTTCCGAGACCACCCTCGTATTGTCCGTCGATAATTCCAACTGCGTGGTTGCCGCCTTCGCGGTCACTTAGTCTCTCGTGAACTTCGCGATCGCGTTCGAGCACCGACTGAGAAGATTTGGACGGCGGTTTTGGCTCCTCTTTTTGACGTGATTCTTGCGGCTTGTCGGTGGGTTTGTTTCTTGTGAGTGCGCTCGTATGGAAGGCAGCGCGGTGCAACGGCACGGCGCGCACGGCTTGCCACCGGGCCAACATCGTTGATGGAGTGGAGGTTCTTTCTTCGCATTTGGCCGATTTATGACACGAGCCGCCGAGTCGCTCGCCCTGCAACCCTCTACACCCCATCTTAATGGCTTAGGGCTTTGTATCTGTGATACCCCTACTGCGGGACGCGGCGTGTTTGCGTCTCGCCTCATTGCACGCGATGTGGTGATTGAGATCAGCCCTGTGCTCGTTTTTAGCGCGGACGAGTATCAAGCTCATGGCCAACACACGCTGCTTGACTCGTACACGTTTGTGTGGGAGAAGCGATCGGGCGGAAGTACCATGGCACTTGCCCTCGGACTCGGCTCATTGTTCAACCATTCACCCCAGGCAAACGTGTCTTACGAGCTCGACCGGCCGAGTCAGTGTATCCGCTATCGAACAGTCCGTGATGTTGCGCCGGGCGAAGAGCTCTGTATTTGCTACGGGGCTGGAAAAATGTGGTGGGAGTCGGAAGAGCAGCCAAGAACCCCACCAGCGACTGAGCTCGACGAATGTGCATTATTCGGGCAGATGGATTTGGGGAGCAACGAGCATACCCAGCAGGATACCCCGGCGCCCGCCTATGCGCGCGCCCCAGCCGAGACCGATGCGCCCCTCTGGCGCATCACATCTTCTCCGGATCCACAGACGATGCCGCTCGAGACTATGCTTGTCTGGGCCCTTGATGCACCGCCGCGGAACTGCGCTTCTGTGGCTCGAGTCCTTCAGGGTCTCGTGAAAGACAAGACTCTGCGCGACAGTGCATCCATGCGGCACCTACGTACATTCCGCAAGGCACGCGAGGTATCGCGCGTCGATTCCGAGGGCAATGTGGTGTCGTCCGCACCGGACACTGACCAGCTCTCGGTGTTGGTTGCCAAGTACGGCTCCCACACCGAGTTGGAGCTTGTAGAGCTGCTAAGATCGTCGCTGGGCGACCTGGCGACGCCGGAGCTGTATCTGGTGCGCGTCCCGACGATTGCTGCGCCGAGTCGTTCGCGGCTCGCCGAGTGGGCAACGGTATGGCCATGCATCTTTCTTCCACCCGGAGCAGGGCTGGCCACTGGAAAAGGTCTTCCTGGAAGCGACGCCGCGCGTCAGGCGACACTCGTCGACCGAAGCCAAGACAATGCGCGCTGGAAACAGGCGGGTGCTGCTGACTGGATTCGTGATGGTTTCCGGCGCTGCTTGACCACCGCACGTCGCGCTGCAGCCGCCGGCGAAATCGGCGCCGCAGCCTTGGTCACCGAAGCGCCTAACGCGCAGGGGCACGTCTCCGTCGCCCTTGATGCGCATGACACCCGCACCAGTGATGCGCATCCTCTCCGTCATGCCGTACCCAATGTTGTGCGTGCCGTGGCCGACTGGCGCGCGGCTCGGCGCACCGAGCCGCCCCAGGGCGTAGCCGCGAATGGTCAGGACTATCTCCTAACGGGGTTGTCGCTCTTTCTTACGCACGAGCCATGCGTGTATTGTGCCATGGCGCTCATCCACTCCCGGGTTCAGACGGTCTACTTCCTCTTCCCGTCCTCCCAAGCGGGCGGGTTTTGCGGCGCGCACGCGGGCGCTGACGATCGTGCGGCTTGTCTCGGGGCCGAGGACGGCGGGCCGTACTCGATCCATGAGCAGAGTGGGCTCAATCATCGCT